ATGTTACTGTCTGCAATGGTTCTGCCATTTGAAAACACACACAAATGCAGCAGTGCTTTGGAAATGCACGTCTACTGAGAAGGCAGCTTTTTATATTTGTTTTCCTTAATTTGTCCTAAGTGACAAAATGGCAGTACAAACAAGCTTGGCAGTTAAAGGTAATCAGCCCAAGCTGGATAGATGGTGCTATGGAGACCATCATGTGTACAGCCCAGGTACACTGGAATGCAGGAGGTACTGTCATCACAACACCAAAACTTTATATTAATATTAAGTCATGAATTTAGATTGAGATAATTGATACTTTAATGATCCCCGTGGGTAAATTGTCTTTATGCCTCCCTCAACTTGCTCTTTGTAGAGTAAGCTGTCTGTGAAGGGCAGCCACCTGTTTGGGCTCCCAGAGAGCTGGGGGTTAAGGGCCTTGGTCAAGGATTGGTCTCATTAGACACCAGGTCATAACAGGGGTCGTCGCACCAGAAATCCGTCTGTCACTATAAAGCCAGGCAGAGTCTGCGGGTTAACACACCTGGAGACTGAACACAATGCATTCTGGGTTTAAATATCCGAGAAGAGGATGGAGAGAAAAACACAAAGTAATACTCAACTTGCTGTTCGTCTTTCTTACTGCTTATTTTATAAGAAACCGGAAATAACACTAAACAAACAAACAATTTTATTTTTGTATAGTGCATTTTCACAACATTACATCGTCTCAAAGCGCTTTACAGCATCCCCACCCAAAGCCCCCAGTGAGTAAACCAGAGGAGACAGTGGGAAGGAAAAACTCCCTAGAAGGAAGAAACCTTCGGAGGGACCAGACTCAGAGGGGGAGCCCATCCTCCTGGGGCCGGCAGGGAGAGGGCTAAGGGCTTTCGTTAGGAGGGCAGGAAGTTATTATTCATAAAAAAAATTATATTGCAGTATTTGATTTGTATTATTTCATCATTCATACACACAGTGGCTCAAAGGGCAGCAGGGTCACAGCCTACACGGCCTGAGATTGGCTCCAGTCCCCCTAACCCATTGTCCTATAGTGGACATATTTACATGACTAGTTAAGAAGAGCAGATTTGTTTCAAAAGCTGAGAATAGTTTGAGCAAATGATCATTTTATAAAGGATTCTTCAGGCAGAAAGCCCTGAACACCTCCTGTTAGCTTCCAGCTTAATTTATCGCTTGTGATCCCATCCCCCAATCGTCTACCTGCTGCCCCCGTTCAGAACTGCAGGTACTGTTTTTAATATTAAACATCACTGACTTTTAAGTGTAAGAAGCATGTGGGGTTTCACCCCATTGAAAGGATCTGTCGGAGCTGGCACCGAAAGACTTTCCGAATCTGTACAGCAGATGCCGGAATTATCTGTCCTGCCTTTATCTTGAAATTCTTTTAGCACTTCCCACTGTGTGATGTTGATAACAAAAAAAAATGAAATGGATAAATAACACATTCTGTATCCAAGTTACTGTAACCAAGGGTGCCAGTTACAATCCCCTTGCAGTAGAAACAAAAAAACTCCTCTGTTAATAAAATGATTATTGGATTTGATCATAGTTGCGTTGATATGCAGTGAGATGAAGTATCAGCACACACTTGATGACTTGGTGTTTGCTCTGCAGCATTACGCCATGCTCCTGTTTCTCCAAGTGTAAAATCAAGCAGACTCCATCTCGTCTGGACGGCTCTGACTTTATGTTGAAATGCCTGTTAGTTTTGTAAATATTGTAATCACCCCCATCTCCACTTTGTTAATGAACTGCAGAACAGAAATCCCTATTATGTAACATATTACCCATCCATTCATCCATCCATCTCCCAACTGCCACCCCACCCTTAAGTAAATCGGCCCATACAATATGACTGTACGAGTGCTTCGAATGGATTGGCATCCCATATTCAGAAGATATATATTCATCCATCCATCCATTTTCTGTACCTGCTTGTCATATTCAGGGTCATGAGGGGTCCAGACCCTGGGAACAACCCAGGATGGGGCGCCAACCCAGCACAGAGCAGACTTACACACCTGTCGCACACACATGTACACCTACGGGCAATTTGGTAACTCCAATTAACCTCGGCATGTTTTCGGACTGTGGGAGGAAAGGGGAGGACCCAGAGGAAACCTCATGGCGACACGGAGAGAACAAGCAAACTCCACACACCGGGGCGGGGGGCAACCAAAGTCAAACCCTAGAGGTTTGCTAACCACTACACCACCATGTTGCTACATGTGTATTTACACACACACACACACACACACACACACACACAAAGTTGGTCTTCCTATCTAAATGGGGACCGTCCATTCATTTATATGGGAAAAACCCTAATCCCAATCACAACACCCTTAACCTCTACCCATCCCTAAACTTAACCATAAGTAACCACACACACACGCACAGATACACACACACAGACACAACATGCAAAATGATGATTAATGTCAGAAAAAAGCATGTTTTGCCACACTATAATAAGAATGCAGCATAATTATATCCAGATGGTGCTTTTTAGCAATGTATGCATGTATTTATTGATTACCAAAATATTTATTTATTGCCAATAAGTCATCCACCGAACAAATTTACATCAAAGGGCTTATCTGGCTCAATTTTTCGAATGGACTCATCACTGCAGAAAATAGTATTTACTCTTGGAAGAAATCCTAATGAATCACATTACAATGAGTAAAACCGTCTCATTAGAGACTGCTTAAACATCAAACACAGAAATTCCCAGTTTTAGTTTAACCACAGTCCGAATACTAGCGGAAAATCTGAGAGCATTATCACATTATGAAGCCTGTGGTCTACCTCACTTGCCGTTTGTAGCCTTTGATTTGCTTTGGGAGTCACTCCCAGCTCTGCCCGTGAACCTTGTTTTCAAGCCGACACAAACCGATTTCTCTATACACAATCAACTCTATGAATTCTAAGGGGTTTCCCTTTAAGGTCGATCCTATCCAGTCCTTGAGGTAGCAAGCTGATCAGTGGCCTGGCCTGCTCAGGTGTAAATTGTAAGGTCTTTATAAGACGTAAATACTTTTGAAAAAGCACATTTCAAAATATATTCCTATATAATTTTAAATAAATACTTAGGTATGAAATTATTTTAATGATTTTAATGCAGTTATTTTCATTAATAGTACACGTATTACTAGTCTGGAAAGATTTTAATCAAAGAGCTAAATTCCCAATATACAGATGCTGCTCTACTTACGAACTTTCAACTTACGAACTTTCAGACATATGAATGAAGAGGACTGTAAGTCGAAATCGTGGTCATTGGGCTCCTGTTTCCTGGCCGCAACATCAATTTTTTGATTGACTAACCAATGGAATTTGCAAATGAGCCAGCTTAAGGCACACAATGACGGACGTCTCATGGTCACTTCCACCAACCGTATTCATAAGAGTTCTTTCCTCCTCTCTCACTCTCTCTCTGAGACAGCACAGGGCATCTGATCAAAAGCGTTGTTCCTCTCATTAGACGATCAATGACACACTGGTACGGATACCGTTGGCACATTTATTTATTTCCTTACTTTTTAATCACCTCTGTCAGCATGGGAGGACTGTATGTGATTGATCTACAGTTTATAGTTCACACACCTTTATGTCCGAGTCAGGTGGGCGCAAATTTATATTCTGTGTTAGTCATACGAAGTTAGTGTTAATAAGGACCTGGAACAAATAAAAGTTTGCTAGTTTATAAAAGTTTGCACTGTATAAATTGAAATATTATTTGAGCAGACAATGGAAGCTGTTTGCCATGATTCACAGCACAGGTCAGTACAGATAAAGCCCGCATTAGCTGCTCGACAAAAGAGTGAATATCAGCTTTCAGTTTGCAAAGTACTTTTTTATTAATGTTGTACAGTACTTCTTTTTATAACATTAAAAGAACAAGGGCAGTTAATATAGTGGCAGAAATAATCTGATATGAGAAGTGGCTGTGATCTTGCAGGCCTTTCATTTTACCGCAAGAGAGGCTTGCAGTGTCTTCAGAGCACTGAGTGAATAAAACGCTGACAGCAAATGGGCATTCAGCCAACTTTTATTCTTTTTTGCACTTTTATTTAACAGCCTGAAGCTTCCCTGTGGTAGGCAGTGCTGTCTCCGAGTGCCTTTCATGAGGAAATACGAAGAACCAACAAAAGGACGAAATACATACAAAATGATGTAACGTTTCCAGATAAATAGCTCCGGGCGTTGAGTGTGGTGAGCGAGGTGTGGTCCACACCCAGGCAACAACTCCCTTAGTACGTATGCCGGCTGAGCTCTCCCTCCCTCTCTCTCTCCCTCTCTCTCACCCTTCCTCTCGCTCTCTCAGCCCTGGAGCTTTATCTCCTCTCTTTCTCTTTTCCTCTTTCATGCTATTTCTCTCTCAACCGTGTCGGCTTCATGAGGTAACAGGGGATAACCCATCGCCAGGGCCTTATGCAGAGCTGTAAATAATACAATACAGCACATCTGAAGCATCTTCCATTAATGATAAAAATTAAATGAGAATATAAACCAAAGACATGCTTATAATGGCTGTGTTCCATTAGACAAAGGTAATGTCCACTGACAGTATTTTCACCTTTAAAAAGTTTTTTGTTACACAGGTGATTTACCAAAATCTCTGGAATTTTTGGGTAAGATATCATTTTTTGAATCCTTGCATGCCTACAGAAAACACAACTTGGACTTAAATACTACACGCTGCAAACTTCCAACACAGTGGAAAGCTTCGTACTGAAACTCTCCGTTACACATGCATGGTCACACACAGAGACACAGACACACACACACACACACACACACACACACACACACACACACACACACACAGCACAATATGCGAAGCCCCCCTGGTGCCCAGAAGCTTTGCCAAAACCCTGAGTCTGTTCCCCGCACCGCCCTCTCACCGCGAGCCCCCCCCCCAGCCGCAGCCCACCCCTGGCACCGCTCCCTACAGGCGGCGACGAACAGCGGAACAGAATCTCACTTACCGGCAGCTGCAGAGAGGCCAGCCCAGCTCTCTTGGTGGAACTCTGCCTGGAGCTCAGCCTTTTCCAGGACTCGGAGAAGCGGCCGCGGGCGGTGCTCCTGCCCGGCCCTGGAGCCTCATCCCGAACGGAGCACCCCCTCTCAAGCTGCTCCCTATCACCCCATCTCGTCTTTTTCATTTTCCAGATGTTTCGGCTCACGGCGCGCGCTCTCTCGGAATCACCAAACTTGGGGCATCTTACGGCGGCTGCCGGCGCTGGCAAGAGCGTGAGAGTTGACGGGAGAGCGAGAGTGAGCGAGCGAGCCGGCGTGCAGTTGGAGGGGTCTGCCTGTTGCAGTTCCCGGTGCTCTTGATGTCGTTTTTCACTGTTAGTATTTTCTGTCACCGGCAGACGGGCGCTCGGTAAATCAGGAGCTCCGGGGGCAGCCGCTCCTGCCGGATGCCATGTCGCGGAGGTCTTGGCGACTCCCGGTGGGCTCAGATTGTAGAGGCACCAAAGCAAACACCACGCTCGCTAAGTGACTAGCATTCAGAATCCCCCCCCCCCGCCCCCCCACCCCGCAACCTTCTCTCACACACACACACACACATACACACACACTGACACATGCACTCTCTCTCCCTCTCTCTCTCTCTCTCTCTCGAGCTCCTCACAGCCGTACTTTACAGTCTTTGAACTGCTTCCTCCTCTTTTCTTTCTTAATTTCTGCTCCCACATTAAGCCTTTGTATTCAGGAGAGAAGAGCACAGGACCAGCCAGCTGTTTTGGCTGCCAACGCCACTCCTCTCTCACCTCGTTCACAGTTCATTGCACACACATTCCATGCCGCTGGGAACTCTGCCTCCTCACTTTGCATCCTGATGGGGTTTCAGTAACTGTCAAAGCTCAGCCCCCTGCTCACCACCCCTAAAAACAGGTTTCTTCATGCAAACAACACTTGACATTGTCGATAATATCGTCATGCGGTAACTAAGACTTTCATATTGCAGTTAACACGTTCACAGTTTAGCTAAGACTTTCATATCATAGCTAACACCATCAACCTGTAGCTACGACCTTCATACTGCAGCTAACACCATTACATTGCAGCTAGGACCTTCAGTGAACAAAAGTAGCTAAAATAAAGAGACAACAATATAGTTCAGATGAACTACGTATAATGCTATTAAGAACTTCACTGTGTTCTTATCTACAGCTCCATTATTAAACAGCTGACAGCAAAGCTATGTCTGCTTAATTGCCAGTCATGCATAAATAGCTGACATAAAAGCTGCTGTGTTCTGGCAGATAAAGAAGGGGACAGACAAACGCACGGATTCCTGGTTACCTGCAAATCGTGCTTAGGGGCTTACGGCTCAGTCATCCTGAGCACCATCAGCCTCAAAGGGTCGGAGAAGAGAGGGGTTAATTATACCCTGACCACCGCCTCCCGCAAGGTCTATGGAATCAAAACAACACGCACCTAGAGAAAACTAGACAGCCAGCCATATTTTTGTGTGTTTCCAATTGCAATCTCTGGTTTAAGACTGCAGTCTGGAAGAGATGAGCCCCGTTTTGAAATGTATCAAACACTGTACATAAATAAAATCGTACCATTCCTGATATTCAGGTATAGACTTGAGCAACTATAGGGCCCCATTAATTTGCCCAACCATAAACTTGACGCCCCTGTTTATCTTGTTAACAGAGGTATGTTCTCTTCTCCTGAGTAGATGAGTAGAAATGTAATTTAAAGCAGATGCTGACTGGGGAGAAACAGAGTGTTTAACACTAGGAATTTGCAGCATGACTGGAACGGCTGTCTGAGAGAGAGCACTGCATCTGCCCATCACAGACTCTTGAACTCCATTTCCTAACTCAACGTTTATTAGCTTCCTTCATCATTAAACAGCTGTCGAAATCTCCTGATTGTTAATGGGCATGGCTTCATGATGCATTTCAACACCACTGCATTTACACAGAAAGAAAACAAATAAGTCAAATAAATCAAAAAGAGGCAGAAGAAGCAGAAACAGCAATCACGACCTGAAAAAAATGTTTCTCTTTTTTGCAGTTTATTGAAGCAAATCATCAAAACTAATTGATTTTTTACTTATTTACCCTCTTGTTGATATCAACCTTCAAACAAAAACTGGAGAGCAATTTCAAATTGCCATGAAACTGTTTCATGCATCTCTTACTTGGATATTTAATCTAGATCAGCTTTTCAAGCATCAGGGTATGTTTTAGGTCAAAACTCATGCAAAGGCTTGCCATTTAGAATAAAACAGCCATGCTTGCAAGAACACACAGAGCAAATAGACAGTAAATGTATACAGTATCATCTTTTGTGGTCCAATGTAAAAACTACTTTGTACATGTGTCAGGTTAACAAAACCTCTCAGATGTGCATCAGTTTGATAAGTGTTTTTAATTATCTCCTGTGGAAATGCTGTTTCAGAGGGGTACATTGATCCAAAGTAGGTCTTTAACTTGAACATGCACACTGAAAGCTATATATTAACATCATGCCAAATGTCATTGTCTCTGACAAAATTTCATCATGATGTTTCTTTGCAAATTTGCAAGACAATTATCTCTGTGGCAACTCCATCTAATGTAGTAAACACCTGATGAAACAGCTGACAATTCTTCAAGTTTTTTCCAAGAAAAAATAGACTTACATGAATACAAACAATCTGTTCCTGGTTTATCTCCTGAAATTGCAGGTGTTTTTTTCTGCTTGCTTAACCAGAGATCTATTAAGGATGGATAATGCAGTGGTCTGTAACATGTTTTTGGCATCTTCTTAAGGTTTATGAGCTCCTGCTTCTTGGATGGAATAGCCACAAATCCTCTACAATGGCAGCTCGCAATTGAACAAATTCAATTCATGACTTACATTAGTGAAAATTCTTTTTCGTTCATTGAGTAAGAGAATATGTCTTACTGAATACACAGATTTACAAAACTAAAGTAACTATTATAAAAGACACATCATTCAGCATTTGCCAAGACATGTTCTTAGCCAATGATTCAACTTGTCTGATTAAGGCAGGGCTAAATAGTGTTCTTTATAAAAATGTACCTTTATAGATCGTTTCTAAAGGCTCTCAATGTATAGTCAGCAACAACAATAATCACATCCTCTAACCCAGGGATGGGCAATCTTATCTGCAAAGGGCCAGTGTGTTTGCGGGTTTTCGCTGCAACTCCATAATTAGATTGCCAATTAGAGGACTGATTGGCTGAAAAGTTCTCGCACCTGGGTTTGAACAGCTGACCTACAGGTTATCCCAAAAACCTGCATACACACCGGCCCTTTGCGAATAAGATTGCCCACCCTGCTGTAACCAATGGTCAGTGAACCCGTTTTTGTTTATGGCCATAGTCTAATGCAGACTAATACTGCTGGGCTTACAACTCAACCTCTAACTTTGTTTTATAGTTGAGCCCTTCAGTGGGCAAATACCCTTAGGTGATCCCTATGTTTTGAATAGATTGTTCTGATTTCATTCCAAATGACCATTTTTATACAAGTCATACAAGCTGGTTTATTCCTTACAATGTAAAATGAGGTATTAGCTATGGATGAAAAGCGATAGGTTCCCCCATAGCTACGGTTACATTTTGGAACACAGAGAAACAGCGTTACTTAAAGATGGGAAACAGCATTGTAACTTGTAAGTAGCTGAAACAGGGTGAGCTTCTTAACATGATGTCCATTAAATGTTTAGACATAGTTCGTAACAATTTCAATATACATGAACAATTGTTAAATTTAGTAATCAGGACTACTCTATGATGAAAAAGTGAGTGATTGTACAACCTCAAAATAATGGACTAATTGGTAATTAGGCTTTCTTCATTACAGAAAGACATACTTGGTTTTGGTTCCATGAAGGAACAGTACATTATTTGTTCTACTTATTCTTCGCATAAGTTTTATCACTGATTTTACCTATTTTAAAAAGGTAAAACACTGTGGGTAGCTGAATTACCTTAGACCATCAAGGTTATGGGTTTTAACTCGGTCCTCAGTGTGTGAGGAGCTATTTTTTGTACCAATTTGCATGGGGATTCCAGAGGTACTGTGATCAAAATGTCCGTAGTTTGTGCTTGAAAGTGTGTAGGTTCTCTACAATAGACTGCGATCCCATCCAGGGTGTACCCCTGCCTTGTGCTCTACACTACTTGGAAACAGCTCTCCAAAACCCACCTGTTCAAGATAAGGGTTTTGATGATGCTTGGATCAACAAACAGAACCGGGCTTTCATTTTTCCTGGATTTTTCCACCTTACAACATAATTATCCTTCCCTGCAAGCCCCAATCCAATCCAAATACTTATGCAAACCATATACAGTTTACGAACAATCGTTTTGCCTGTCTCCATGGTAACCCCTTTTCTCCAGCTTAGGTTTCTCTGCAGGAGAATGTTTCTGTGTTCATTTCTTTCCATATATCTCTGACTTATGCCATCAATCACTTCCCTCTCTACTAACTCTACCGCTTCGAACCCCAGATTACAAATTATATTCCTGTGGCTGGCCAAATTCACTTTTTCATTACCCTCCCAGATGGTACTAACTGAATATCAGACATTCTTGGTGAAGGTTACAGGATTAACACCAGCAGTGCATGAATTATTTGCTACAATTGCAATTTATGCGAAAGTCTTTAAATTACTGTAGGTAGCAAGTTCTGTTTGCCATTGTATAAAAACTGAACAATCAACTATCGCTCCAGTAGCAAACCCCGCCCACTTCAAAAAATCTGTTGTTCACTGTACGAGACAACAAACTATGTTGCAGTTAACAGCTTCCAGTGAAAACTTACAGTATCATCAAAGCTGAAGTACCCATGTGAATTACTCATGTTATTGTAAAAGTTGGCTCCAGGGTAGTAACCTTTTTAAAATGAGAAAAGACTGTCAATTTCCCTTTGCGGGGTAATCAACTTCAAAATTACTCAGCAAACCATGAAAAAAAGTTTGCTGAATGCAAATTCGGTGAGACTGATGACCCTCCCTTTGACAGGCATCTATCAAAAATGCATGCAGGCGTGCAAGCTGGATCAAACGCTTTTTTGTTTTTAATTAATAATGTCATGGTCAGTTGTTTGGATGAGCATGTCCCCACACTGAAGTACAACAGCTGTTCAAATTAATTAAACAAGATGCCACACAAAGTATAGGAGAACGGCAAAGTCATCAAAAACACAGAAGGGTTTGTCTCCTTGCCACTTAAACATGTGCAGCTCTCTGTGAATCCAAAGGACAATTCTGTTTGACAAGGCACAATGACAGTTTGATGACAGCTTGTTATATTCTTTTAAAATAAGAAACTGACATCATTATGTGAAAATTGTTAATGAGCAGCATCATTCAAAATCCCTGCCAGGTCAAAGCTGGCAGTTCTGATGCTATTTTTACATAATATTTTCCTGTGTGCAAGAAACATCTGTATTAGCTTTTGAGTACATTTCCTCTGATATCCACTACTGCCATTACTCCCACAAACATCCATAATATTCAGACACTTCCTCACCATTCAGCCACAAGTCCAAACCCTGATTCTGTCCAAGACTGAATAATATAACTCCCTCCATTGTCAGCACTCCTGCTTCAGCAATATGCCTGCTTCAGCAATACGCCTGCTTCAGCAATACGCCTGCTTCAGCAATACGCCTGCTTCAGCTCATATGGAAACTGTTCCTGTCTGCCCTCACCTTGCTCTCTGTCCCTGCACCTTCTTTCATGCAGGGTCCTTCTAATTGTTGTAATTTTGCCCTTTACTGCCTTGAATGTGCCTTTTTTATGGTTTCATTCTTCAATCTGCTCTCTGCTACAAGATAACACTCTTCATCTGTATGTCTTTATCGATAGGAAGTTACCAAAAGGCATCAGAATGGGTCCACTGTCCGTGATCATAAACTTCAAACTCATGACAAAACCCTGCAGACAACAGCTCTGAGATTATGTTCCAACCAGAACATGATTTTTTTTTTTTTACCAAAAATGTTATAGCCAAGTTATTATTCATACAGCTATGCTATTCTCAGTAGCCTTACCTGAGGATTTTTCCACCATCTGTCATCATACTCTACAAGGAGTTACTCTCCTGACCTCATTTACCAGACCAAAAGCTGCCTTTCCTGGACATCTTTGCACATAAATTTTTTTTTTGGGTAATTGTATCTATCTAAAGTTATCAAATTAGAGTATTACTTATCAATTAATAATGTGGCCTAGTTGCAATGTTTAGGGTTAGTTACATGCTATCTGTGAGTATTCATTTGTTGACACGTAGCTTTGATCGCATTTGTACTGAGCTTAATGTACCAAATTACAGACTTTCTTACGATAATGCTCTAATTTCCTTTCTGTAAGACTGAAGTTATCTTTTATAAAGGCATTAAAAAAGTAAATTACATTCTAATTATGATAATAGTCTTGCTTTCTGCTTTATGGCAGTTACCTCGGAGAAAACAAAGTATGACACAGAATACTCTGAATTACAATTTAAGCCTTAGACAATGACCTTTGTGTGAACATTGAGGAGTATAATATGGAATTAATAATTAAGGTGAAGTGATACATTTTTTTTTTCTTAAGCACCTCCGTAGCCAACTGACCAGAGCTGTATCACCTGCTGGGGGGCATCTGGGACATTTGGTCCCAAGTAAACAGATCTTAAAATGGACCCAGACATCCATCTCACAAGAGTGTCTACAAAAAGCATCCCTGTGTCAGCATGAACCCACCTATTGACACAATTATATAGGAAGATTGTTTCTTACAGTCCTACCTCCATCAACAGGAACACTTGACCATAAATACTCACCCCCTAACTGCTATAATTTATATAATCAATTCATTTCTACATAATGTTCACACTTACTTTTACATATTGTAGAGGAGCAGTACTTGATCACCTTCTTTAAATGAGTCAGGGGATCACTGTCAGTTTTTCTAAATAATTAAATTTGTTAAGTGCTCTCCATAAAAAATTCTTTGAAATCAGTCCTTCACTTGTAAACCTGTATAATGCCCAGTTTGATTTAATCATCTGGTAGTGCCTTCTGTCTACAATGCAAGCTGCAGATAACCAACAACGAGACTGAGATAGCCAACAATCTGTCCGTGGTGGTTCTACTATGCATCATTGTGCGAACTGTCAATCAATAAATTGTACACCTTGCAAACCCAAGGATAGTTTGGAGAGTCACTCAGTAATCGTGGAATGGGAAACCAAGAGAAACACACAAATTGGCAGCTGAATATGAAATAGCATAAACATCCTGCTATACAAAAGCTATGCACCCTTCTTCAGAATAGATGCTGTAAAATGCTGTTGGTGGTACACCAGTGTGAAATCTGTGGTTGTTTACTATACCACACATTTTACAAACACGCACACACATATTATATAAAACACTATCCAGTTCTAGGCTGGTGGCTTGGTATCACTCAGTCTGCAAGGTGAATATAAAGTGCATATTTGCAATAAAAATCAATGCAAATGTGTCAGGAATACCAACAAAGTCATCTCTATAATACACTACATTGACCCACAAAAGAAGCATTGATCATTGGCCAAAACAGTAAGTTGATCATGAAAAGAATATGTATACCTTCATATCTGCTGAGTGAGGCTGCAGGATCCTCCTGCTATGAGGTTTTCTTGTCATGTGGGCCTGCCAAAAATAAAAATAAAAAATCACAGAAGGAACTGAAACAATATAGGCAACATATAATGAAACACTTACTTAGAAACCAGTTATTTATCTTTGATAAAAGCCTTTGTGCTTTTGTTTAGCAGTTTTCTAATTGGAATCACTTTGTCCACCCTTCTCATTAGGATACGCTAATGTGCATAGGATTTACTTTATAGCGTGAGGCTTTGCTTTCAATTTCTCAGTTTAATCTGCTCAGTATATCGGATGCCTTTTCCATCAATTTGCTAAGTGCAGTTTCAACCCTCTGCTAACAAGTTTTCCATATTCTGGCACCATTTTCTTAGCTAACTTGTGTCACCTTTAATTGTAATTCTCTGTTGGAAGAAGGGAAGCAATAATGACTTTTATCTCATGTCTATAAAAGACAGCATGATTCATCAAAATGGTGTGTCATCTCAGACGAGGGAATCTAGAATCACTGACAGGAAAACTAACTACAGCGATTTAATGATATTACATCCCCTTGTAATTACCAAAAATGAACTAAATGAAAGTAAGCGGTTATTTATGAGCACATTAAGTGAGAAGCAGGAGACAGTTTACATAATGTAAGCAAATATTAAAATTTTGTGGTGAACACTGATAGGGGGAGTTGTTGATGATAAATAACAGTGAAGAGAGAGAAATTCTTCAGCTGTAATTATTTCATTTTTTATTCCCAGTAATATTTTAGAAGGAGAGAGCAAAACATCAAAAAGCATACACTGTCTACAATGAAAAAAACAAGAACTACAAGTCTGAACTACAAAGCTACAAAAGGGTATAGAACAAATGTATTTCAGTAATGGAGTTTTGTTTGATTTCAGGAGATATTTTAGAACTGTCAGGATTACGCAATAGAACTCGATTACTCGATTATTTTATTTTTTTAAAGAAGCACCGATTAAAACGTGCCTTGTCGATTACTCAACAAAATGCCGGAAGGAAGACAGAGCCACAGTAAATTAGGGTTCAACTAAAAAGAGCCACAATAAGAGAACGACAGCCTCAGTTGCGGGGAAGCACTTCACTTTAGAAGTGAATGAAAATGCAGTTGTTTGTCAGTACTGCAAAACAGAACTTTGAATACCACAACATGAGGACAGCGATCCAACTGAAAGACTTAACTGTCTTAAAAGAAGAGATTCACTCACTCAATAATGCGAGGTTAGCCATAATTAATGCCTGCCATGCATGAGCTTCTCGGAGTAGCCTAGCCTGTCTATCATTACTTTAACTTTATTTTGCTCAATTTGCTACCATTTCTGTATCTTAACATAATGTGGTACAAAATATCCAGAATTTTTGTATGTGGACGTATTGCGTATTTTGAGAATGGCTGAACGATACTTTCAAAAGATATTTTAAGTTCTATAGTTTATAGTTTAAGTTGTATATTTAGGAGTTAACTATATAGGCCTACAGTCGAACAGAATAGCATTTGCCAAATAAATCGGAGGTGTTGCCGCGAGTTGTACCAGAAAGCTATCAACTTTCACGCATCTGGCGTGACACACACGCAAGAAATTTTACGGCGAATCTATATTATTACATCATAAACCTAAAATTAGCTACATAAAAAGCATTGGAATAATTTTCAAACCGTACAGACTATTTACAAGACAATAAAACTGTTACATACATGTACATTTGTGTGCAGACTAATCTCGAATTAAAAATCTCACGTCAACCAGCTGACGAAAATTGCATGGCAACACTGAATGCGGTGCCCACATATCTCTCTCTTTTACTCAATATCTGTAAACCTCAAAATATATACGCATCTCTTTTGGTGACTAGTTCTTGTTCGCGTTCCTGCTGAAACATTTTTTTGTGAAATTTCTCACAAACGCGCCACACTGTTTAAGTCAACCAGCAAGAACAAGAAACATTACAAATGGCACTGAGAGCACATTCAAAAGCAGCGGCGGTAAACTTCAGACTTTTTAACATATACTAGATATTGTTGAAGAGGAACCATAATTAGAATTACAAAGCTCGGTACGTTTTGTTTCCTGTTATAATTGATGGTCTCAACACAGCTGACCAGTATGTTATAATTGTATGTGCATAACATCCGATGTCGATGTCGCACATTCTGCAAGCCTAGGGCGGCATGTATGTTAATTCACGCCTTGGGTCTATGGGTTTATGGCGGATCCTGCAGTTTCCTCCCACGGTCTAAAAGTGAGTGTGCTGGCGTCCTGTTCAAGGATAGTTCCTGCTTCACACCAATTGCGATGCATTATATTAATTATATTATATTATATTATATATGAATAATCGTCAAATTAATCTGGAGATCACTCGATTATTAATATGATTAATACAATAGCCCTATAAGTATTTTTTTAACCAGTTGTCATTGATTTTTAATTGATATTGCTTTGTTGGGCTATTAAATTTACATGTTATAATGACGTTTGTCAAAAACATAATCTTTGTCACATGTCCTAGTTAATGAACATGCTGTAGTATTAACATTAGGCCTACATGACTGAAGCTACCCTTATCTCAAATTCATATAAACAGGAGACCACTTAAACACATTTAAATAGCAGGTAATAGTTGAAGAATGGAAATCAAATAGCAGGATGATAACTTGGTAGATACAGTTAGCATAGTAGCCTTTTAAATCAGTAGTCTAGATGCTAGGCTTTATCCACAGCATGTTTAACATACGTTTCACTGTGACCTCCAGAAAGAACAGCAAACCTATTAGTTCAACATGACAAAAAAACCTTTCCCTACTTTACCTTAAAATTACATCAAAGGACATGTGTAGACACATTTAGAGTGAAAACGACATTAAAATGAAGTCTGATTTTTATCTGATTTTTAACAGTTTGTGAAGCCAAGTGATGGAAACTGAAAATTTCAGAACTTTCCAAACTCAGTGTAAGCTACAATGATGCATTATTCAAAAACTTGTGTATCCAACCCAGAAAAAACATTTGCCCGAGGTCCCTCCTTAGGGGACGAAATTTCATGGATTTGATCTAACACCATTTTTCTGTTACTGTGTCTTCTATGAATTGAGAAATAACTGAAGCCAGTCATTTCTTTCAGGTGCATTTGTTTCAGTGTGATGCTCTGTTCTCTTTTTGTATTGCGCACCAAATGTGTCAAGATTGACTGGTTACATTTGATTTAATGGAAACTGGAAAGGATACATATTTTGAGTAAGATCACATGGAGCTTTCTGAGCAAACATGACAGCCATTGGTGAAACTCTAAAACAAGGATGCTACTTCAAGTCCTACCTACCAGATAGCTGCAAAATGACATTTATACTGGAAGTAATTTGTTAACAATAGGACTCCTGCTTAGACTACTTCAGAATACCTTGGCAATAACATACTTTTTCAGTTTTATAAAGCTGATGGTATAAAATGCATTTGTTTCTCACCATTTTAAACAACTATCAAAACAATAGCCAATATATAACAATTGTCAAAAGAGTGTTTCTATTTTAATGTTATTTAAGCTATAGAGTATGAGAAAATATATAAAGTTATGTGCCTTTACATTGTAAAGGAAAAAAAAACTAGAAAAGAAATTTCTTTCCATTTTCGGTCCCCAGGAATTAAAATCACATTTGCAGTTAGTGATTTATGAGTCAAAGCTACACAAGAGGAACAGAGTACTTGTGAGAAAGTTGCCAAGTCGGGTAGAATAACTGTTGAACAGCTGGGGGATACATTCATCTGATAGGCAATGACTCCCTCACAAATACTCCATTTAGGAGAACTCAAGTGAAAACATTCTTCACTTTCATTCCAAAATATAAAGTAACTGTACCTCTTTTGCAGTTGTACATTTTCCCCTGCACAACTTTCATGTTATATTTCAGTCCATCTGCAGTGGTTTAGACACAATCGTTTTAATCAGCGCATTTTTAAATTCCAGCACTTCTCATTCTTTGTAACAGCATGTTTCAACATACAGATTATGATCTAAAAAATTGGACGGTTTAATATGCAGCAGTTGTCAGAGCCTTTAATAGTTCAATTGCCTCCACAGTAATGTAACAAACACTGGTGAATAAATAAAGCACAATTATGTTGCTTTTACAATGCACTTTAAAAACTAAGCAACAGAAAAAGCTGATAAAGTAGAACTGGCCAATAGTGATGCCCACAGCAGAAAGTTTGCTTTCTCTCCCCTGTAAAGTCTTCACAGCCTGGATTTCTGTAGAGTTTATGTTTCATCAGAAGCACCTTCAAGTTTGTGTGTTACATTCCACTAAATGGCCATAACCAAAAAGGAAGTGTCTGAGAACTTTCTGGTCATCTGTGCAGGGTATACATCTTCACAGAAAACAAAACAGAGGGGTAACATCAGCAAGATAGTCAGTCTTAACCATCATTTGGGCTGGAAGAAAACGGAAGAAAGTGATTGACCTTTGAAAATGTATTAAGGCCAGTCAAATGAACATCTTTTGTGGTACGGCTTAGCTGTTATGTCTATTTACTTGCTGGTAATGACCTTCTACCCTGAACAGCAACACTAATTTGCACTTCCTTTTATTGAATGATAAAAAGGTTGTGGATGCATTTTTAAGCAGGCAGTCCTATCAATAATTCATGGTGCGTGGTGAAAGATCTTGTGTGCCTCTATTCCCTGGATTTCGGAAGGAATGTTTTGCCCTATTTATATCTATATCATATTATTACTATGTGAAAATCATTGCTCCTAATCCCTTATATTAATTAATGATATGCTAATACAAAAAAATCTAAAAAGATTAGTGTCCACACAGTAATTCTGTCCTGAGAATCTGCAACAGAAGAAAAATAGGGATCAAAAATCTGATACCTCCTTGATGATGCTTATGGTTATGATCAAGTAAGCCAACGTTTTATTTCCTACAAGTACTCCTCACCCAAAGTATACCTGTATATTAGGTAAGGTACAGGAAGGTATGATGATGTTTACCTTCAGAGGTAAAGCTTTTACCTCTTGTAGAAATAGCCATATTTAAACAAATTACTTTAAGATGGTAGTTGAGCTTAATAGTTATTCAAAGAGTCTCTAAAATTAATAGAATTACCTTAAAATTATATTTCAGTGTTTGCATCATATACAATAATGCATTTAAATTAACAGAAAATGTTTGTCTTTCAAAGAAAATACGCTGTGCTATACCCTTGGGTATTATAATAGAAATAGTAATAAATATATTCTAAATGAAAACCATTATTCTTGATTGTGTTTTTACAGTTTTTATTCTATTTTGGTGCATCTCTGATATGTTTCTAGCAGTACATTATTCCAGCCTGTAATGAAATTATGACTCCAAGTCAGAACAATAAAATCCCCATGAAAGTTTGCCAAGATCACAAATTGCACACATTGATATTCACAAATACATCTGCAGCATAATCGATGCCACTGGCTCAAACACTCCCTGCGCTAAAGGAGGAGAATGTGTGCTTGTAATTAAGTGGCTTTCCTGAAGAGGCAGGGAAGTACAACTGAAACACATCAACAGCCCCTGGAAAAGGGATTTTTTTCATCAATTGCCAGCAGATATTTCCTTGGGGGCTATGACACTTACCCCTGGTCAGATGGTACAGTATCAAGGGCAAAGTTAACCTCCTAAAATTTCCTTTGGTCGCTGTATGTATTACATAAAGAGAGACCTGTTGAGTGGTCCCCATCTACCTTTGTTTCACCATTTCTCTAAGTTTCTGAATCATTTATATTAACAGACCATATGGTGATGAATCCCTTCAGACACTATGGCTGCCAAACCACAAACAGATGGTTGGAGAGTGATTGATATTATTTATTTAAAACACCACAAATAAAAGGGTGGACATGCAAACTATTTATTGACCTCTGGGGTTTTTAAAAGAAAACAATTATTATATGCATAACACTGACTTATCAAAATGTTTATGAAATATTTCCATTTTCTAAGAGGTAATGTACAGTTCATTCCCCCAGTATTTAGCCTGGTTTAAATCACATGGTGCTGTCTGCCACTTTCATACATCCGGACTGGGATGGACAATATAAATTCAGAAAGTCAGTTTTCTTACCAGACTGAGTCTTTGGTTCTGCTCAAGTTTCCTTCCTCTTCCTCAATGGTCAACAGTTTTACAAGAAACCTCCAGCAGCTGACTGAAGAGACACAAACTAGTGTATAAGAGTCTGTCTTCTGGATTAACAACAGCACAGAAAAGAGATCTCTTCTTTTTCTCACAGAAATCAGAAGTTTTCTAAACCACCTCAACAACTGACGGCAGGTTAAAATAGGATGCACTTTGGTTCAGTAATTTCTCCAGTGTCATGATTGCATGCTGATGCTTGGACTCCTTATGTGGCTGGAAAGCCCTTATAAAACCTAATTAACACCCTGAGCTGCTGGTGTTGATGATGATGATGATGATGATGTTACCCATAACAAAATCAAATGAATCCTTTTTCCTCAGTCAGGTGACATTAGTCCAATGGAACTCAAAAACAGCTCCAAGCCAGAGAAACACACGGAGCCACTATCCCTGTGTCGGACG